CTGGAGAGGGAGGAGGGGTAGTGGTGGAAGAGCTGTTGGCGCAACATAATGTTGAGGTTGAAAATGACAGATAGCTCACCTGCCTACTTGGAACCCCTAGGCCCCATAGACCTTGACCCATAGATATGTGCTCTCCCAGCGCTATTCCAGATGCACCCATCGTAGGTACATGTTGCACCCGCTGGGCGCACACCATTTTGGAACCACCTTTCTCCTAGCCTCTTGGAAGGCTTCCAATCATACAGTAGTTTTCGAAGAGTAATTCTCGAAGATGACCAGTAAATCCCGATATATGGATAGTCTTTAGAACCGTGAACAGCCAATAAACCAAAGCCTATAGTGGCAGTATTAAACAAGCACCGAATGGGTTTGGCAAATAATTAACTCTATATTACTCATGAAAACAGTGCAGTAGTTTAGTGTGAAAAAATTTGGAAAAACTGGTATGAGAAAGAATTGAACCTGGCTTTGGTGCACACTTTCGAGTGCAGTTGGTGCACAGTTTCGAGGCAAGGGAACCCCAGAAATGGCAAGTGGGCAAACGACGTTAGTTAAGATGGCCTTCAAATCAAATAAAGCAATAAAATTAGTAACGAAAAAGTCATGGAAACGGAAATGGTAAAGAGCAGAGTGCAATGCGAGAGCAGAGAGAACCGAGTGTAGAGGGCCAGTGGATCGGCTGCTCTACTGCTAATAGTATGTACTTCTTACACGTGGGTTACTACTTATCAAAGGCACTGAGAATGATAAGCTTTACAAGTATGAACGATGTCTTGAGAAACTGGATCATTACTAGTATAAAAACACAAGGGCGCAAACATGTACGGCAAGCCGAAGGCTGCCCTGAGGCGGCGATCAATAAGGTGAAAGCCAGATGAATGAGCGGCCGCGGAAAACCGCAGAAATCTCTTAACATGTGAATATTTAAGTAAGGCAGCGATGAAAAAATGTTTCAAAAATGATTTTTGCAAATTTTTATCTTTTTCATTTAGTAAGTAACAAAAACAGTCTATCGTTTAAAAGAATCAAGTAATAAAAATATTAATCAAAGACACCAAATGGAATGAAACACTAGTGACATAATTGCCATTCAGAATGTTGGTTGGGAGTGAAAGGAAGGGAGGATGAAAAGGTGGGTGGGAGGGGTGGACGTAACTTGCAGTCGGTCATGCCGATTTCGGTTCATGTGGGAGGCGTAGCTTTCGTCGCCGAGTCCGTGGGGTCATATTGTTGATATGAGGAAGTAGGGGGTTCCTTTGTGTAGGATTATGGGGATGCATTTTTGAAGGAAGAAGAAAGAGTGGAGATCATACTGACGAGCCTGCTTTCGTAAATAATCCGTGTTGAACATAAAAAGCTACGAAACAAGAAATCAGAGCGAGAATGGGTACAGCAATGGGGCGGGGAAAGGGTAGGTGGGATGAAAGCTACCATCACATTGGTATTTTAACGACTTAGGGGATCCACGGAGCACTCTGCTTCGCGACAGAGACGAATGGGGACGCTTCTGGTGCCCGCTTGAGGAAATCGATGATCAACGGGACGACAGGTGACAGGGGACAGGTGAATTAATGACGAGAAAAATCATTGGCCATTAAATTTTCATGTTTTATGATGCGCCACAGTATCTAACTGTTGTGGTATCAACCAATTTAAAAATTATTGCTTCAACTTGTCGCTTCCAAGGAACCCATTGCCAGTCAACCAATGAAGCGAGCATGGTTAACTCGAGGATCACTACCTCATCTTCAAAAATAAAAAGATAAAGTTTTTGGCATTGATCAATCCCGTCTGAGAGACGCGCCCCGCACTCCACTTCCATTCAGAATAGTAGTGGCGTAATGAGTGCGTATGTGGCCGATACAATGACTTGCTGTGGCAAGCCGATGTACAAGTCAGTGCGTTTATCCTCCCAGACGAGTCTGGTACCAATTCACCGACCCCGGAGGGGTGAAACATTCGGTAGGCCTGGGCGGATATGTCCCCGGACCATATTTTCGCTAGTGTGCGCCATCTGCGGCTAAACCACCTCCGCCCATCACAATAGGACACGATATAATTTCAGGGCTTCACGGAGGGGGAAGCTCTGACGCGCTTGGCGATGGGAGAACTTAGGTCTGTGCTATCCTCGAGTTTTCTTAGCCCTCCTGTTGGCTAGAGTTCAGCCATTAGCCCGCTGCAACTACACTGGAAAGCTATACCTATTTGGTTTCAGAAATAAAGTAATCGGAAATTTCTGGAAAAGGACGTCTGCCTCAAAGGTCCCCTCTACTTACATGAACTGCTCATATATACGTAATGTTAAAATCGAAATTTCAAACGCCTTTTCTAAGGCTGTTTGACTTCAGAGAAATCGCATCAATGAAGTCTGTAGCCGCTGTTCATGGGACCAGCAGGTTCAACTATCTTCATTCTGTGCAGTGCTTGAAATAGATGTTCAGTCCTCTTTAGGCTAGTACATACTTAGTGATTTCGTCTGCTAACTCGTAGAGGGGGTACGGACAACAACTGAAAGGACTGTAAGAACTGGCTTTGCGGATTATCGGTTAAAAAAATCCTCAAAAAAGAGAGAAAGCTAGATTGACTGAAGGTTAAGAATGGTAAGTTCACGGAATAACTAGTCATTTGGCTGATAATTGGAAATCGACCATGCAAGCTGTTTACCTCCACTTACTAAGAGTGTGCAAGCAACCGAGTACTTATCCCCAACAAATGAGAGAAACAGTGGAATTCAGTGAAAACCACTATTCAAAACAATTGGTGTTTCATGCTTACAAATCTGATGTGAACACCTATTTTTCAAAAATTCCGCTCAAACAGTTCAATAAGGCAGTCTTGAGTCCTGCGCTCAAATCAATAATCGCGGCTGATTTTCCCACGAGACGCAGACGGTTACAGCAAACTCCCACGCATGTTCGCGCAGCAGCAAATGCCAACATAATAGGAACTGGGTACACATCATCAGAGTTTCATTTGCAAATTGGACAAATTGGTGAACGGTCGTCCCTGGTCCACTGCCAGCTACATTGCTACGTTACTTCGTCCCAATCCCAGTTGGAAGCCTGTCGCCTGATTGGGAGATTCGTATTTTTCTGCTCTTCTGTGGAAAGCTCCTACGTCGAAATCAGCTCTTCACCGCTATTCATGATGTCGAACCCATTCCTCCTGCTTGCAGACATTCTGCAATGAAACCTAGTAGACCTAGGAGTATGTGGCCTATTAGGTTTCTTTGCTGAATGTCTCCATTGATACGAAATGTTCCCAAAGGTTGATACTTTCATTCCCTACAGGCCTACAGATTCCGTGGCCTCAGAATGAAGTGGAGGTCAGACTCAGTACACGCCATATTACTTCTAGGTGGCACCTGTCGGTTTGATGCTTCTTAACTTACTGGTTAACTGGTTTGTAGTTACGCACTCTATTGTTCGTCCATCATCAAGGGAGTCCATAGACATTCGCGCATTCCTCAAAAGGACTGAATATTGTGCCAAATGAAAGGCATCCGAAAACATCTGATTCTT